CCCCCTCCCCACCTCCCGGGCTTTGTAAAGAGTCCAGGCCCATTGTCTAACAACTACGGAATGCACGGCAAGGAGTGCATCCCCCCCGCCCCTACCTGTCACAGTTGATGAGGTCACTGGCGAAGGGCGCGTAGTGGAATGGGAAGTACCATGTCCAGCTAGGGCAGCCCTGGTAGTAGTAGAGCATCACCCAGCAGAGCCCCTCCACGTACGCCTGGAAGAGCCTCTCCCTTCCCCCGCCCCCCTCGATGTCTTCCAGCTTGCACTTGTCTTGGTAGTACCGGTCCTTCCACCCGTCCTCCCACAGCCGTACCTTTTCTCATCCAAGCACAAATAAAACAGAAACGAAAAAAAAAAAAGGTCATCACAAAGTCTGGGAGGAAAAACCTAGCGAAAATATCGAAAACAACACAGGAACACCAGACGTCGTTCGAGATAATACCACAGCAGTGGTCAAAAGGGACGCGCTCAAGTATTCTCCGTGAATGGAGGAAAATCTTCGCAAGTGTGGGTGGGTGGGTGTGCAAAGCTGGTGCGCACTCCGGTGGGAACCTTGCTGGCACTGACTGAGTACAAGGGCATGAATCTCACTGGGCACCCGTCTCGCCGCACAGGGGCGTCGTGTGTCGCACCGCCCCTGAACCGAAACAGAGCGATTATGAGGCATTCGGGGTTCCGCGCAAGAGATGTCGATGGAGGCCTCGCAAGGGTCGCTGCGTGGCGTTAGGTTCCCCACAAGAGTGGACGGAACATACTTTTCTTGTTAGTAACGGCCGCGCCGGGCACCGCCGCCACTGCTGCGCGTTCCCTTTCATAAGACGGCGATCACTGAGAGGGCGAACACGTTCGTTTCAAACAGGGCACTGAAGCAAGGCAGCACACAATGCCACTCGTTGTCGACTTCGGTCCGGTCCCCTGCGGCACAATAATGGACGCAGCAGCCGGGGTTTTGTTCCTTGTTTGTGAATTAATTTTCGTGATATGGCGGGGGGCTCAAACCACCCCCCCCCAAAAAAACAAAAAACATGCTCACCGTGTCGTTTACGCTGTCCCTCGCCTCGTCCAGCAAGACCTGAGCCTGATCCTTCACCTTGTCCTTGAGCATGGTCTTGGCTCTGGCCATCTCTTCCTCCGTCATGTCGGGGTCCTCCTCTTCCTCCTCGCCTTGATCTTGACCATCACCGTCTTCTCGTTTCTTTTGGCCCATACAGTCAGCAAAGGCGGTAGATTGGTAGGACGAGGAAGTGGCACGCCGGACAACAACGAGAAACGGGCTTGCAGAGTCAGTGTTGCGCGCAGGAGGGTTGAGGCCGGGGGGTTGATAAGCGGAGACCAGTATCAATGCCAAGGCATCGTCATCAACGGCAACGGCAACTGCAACTGCATACAAAAAATAAATAATAATAAAGCAAACGACACCCAATAACAACGACAGCAACAGCAGCAGTAGCAGCAGTAGCAATACCCACACCCACAACACCATCAACACGACAACAACACCGCAAAGCGACAGAGCGAGGACAAGAACTTCTGTGCACACTCCATGAGAAAAAAATGAAGCGAAAATGATAGCCAACACCAGCTCTCTTGACCGCAACAGCACAAACCAACACCCCACCACGAGAGACAAAAAAAAAAAACACCTACATAACCTACTTTGACCATCACCACCAACCGTTAAAACACGCCTCTCATGTTCCATCCCGCCAAAGCCAAAACCGTATCCCCTCCAAACCAAAGCTCACCTTACCGCCACCAACACCACCTCCTCCGCCCCTCTCTACAGCAGCGCCGCCCCCCCCCCGGGGGCTCCCGTTCCCGTTCCCGTTCCCCTCCCCCCTGGGCACCTTCGTCGGGGGGGGCTGTGCCTCCCCCTCGCCCTCTCCCCCCTCCTCCTCCTCCGCCGCCGCCCCCCCGTCCGCATCATCGCTAGCAGAGGAGTTGTTATTGCTGCTGTCGCTGCTGGCGGCGCCGCTCTTCTGTCCCCTCTTGCCCCCCCTTGCCCTGCCCCTTCTTCCGGCGGCCTTACCCCCGAGTTTTTCGCGCAGCTTCGCCGCGGCCGACCTGTGATCATCGGGCGGGGCGCGCGGGGGGCGGGGGGGGGGCGTACTCTCAAGTTTAGCATGTATCAGCGGTTAGACCAACGTTCACCACGCGTCCTCGAGAGGACGGAGCGTTATTCCCCACAGGACCGATCACCGATGGTGGCTCAAGGACCGTTTTTCGAGGGGGGCGCACCCACATGTTTCGCACGCCCTACTCGATAGGCCATGGGGGGGCGACAACTACACGACCAAATTCAAGATGAACGCCCATTGAAGATGTACGATAATGCATCCTTGGGGTCGGACGTGCCCTACAAGAGGACCGGCACACCGCACATGACGAAAGAGACCACACACCTCGGACCCAACGATTCTCGAGGTTCGAATACTCCTCGCGAAGAGCAAGGGTGCACAAATCAAACCCTGCATTTTCGGCATGCCCTCGACGAGACGGTTCCAACGCCAACATTTTTTCCGCCACTCCCCTCTGCTGTAGCGGCAATCAAGCTTTGAGAAATCGACCGACGGGGACGTGGTATCTTGCGTTACCCTACGGCAGAAACGGTGACGCAAAGACCCCCCTGGGGGCGGCAATGTTACACATGAAAACAAATCTCACCAACACTGCCGGTCCATAAACCATCCTAGGGGCCCCTCCCACGACGACCCCCCCTCCTACTCCTACGGACCCCTCTACTGTCCTACGGGTCCCCCTCGTACTATCATACGGGGCCCCCTCCCCTCCTACTAGTTCCGTCTCCGGGTTGGGGTCGTGTGTGACGACGTGACGACTGCCTCACTCACTTGTTGGCGTGTTCTGCGGCACCTCCCTTCTCCTCCCCCTTCCCCTCTTCGCCCCCGCCCCACTTGGCACCGCCGCGCTGACCGCCGTCTTCCAGCCTGCGCTTGGCATCCTACGTTTCGCAAAGCATGCATACAAAGACATAAAAAAGGGGGCGAGCTTCTACCGGCATCGGACGGCGGTGGCAACAATGGGGCTGATGGTAAGAGGACTGGAAAAGCAGCCAACTGCTCTCAAGAGCCGACCACAAACAACAAAAGCGTCTCACAATAATCATTCTGCACCGACGTGAGCGAATCGACCGAATCCCTCGAGAAAAAAAAAATCAGCATGATGCGTCTTGGTTGGTTGCTCCAAGACCAAACCTCGCGAGTCCCCCACAGCCAACAAACCGGGGGGCAGAATATTCGTCCGCATCAACAGACACAACCCACATGTCCGATTCGGTGTTGTGTTGCAAGGACATTCATTCTCCCTGCGACATCATTGGTGGTGGCCCGAGGGAGGCAGACACACCCGCCAAACCTCGGAAAGAACGCCACCTACTGTTGTACACTATTTATGTGGTTAGCACGCAGCCCACGTTGACGATACAAAAGAAACATGCAAGCACACACAACAGCAACTCACGGGGGGGG